TCTACCACACTCCCCACGTGCAGTGGCCACAGACATCTTCGAGATCCAGATAAGAAGAAGCTAAAATGGAGATATATTTGGTGTGCAGGTAGTGGATATACTGACATCATTCGCGGCCACTTTCACAGAGCGTTGTTTTCCTGGTTGTTGAGATGGAAGACGAGGTTCCGGGTACACTCCTGCTGTCCACTGTGCTGAGTCTCTGGGTCTTAAGGCCTTGAGCAGGCATTTTAGATCATATTCTTTGGTGTTGGGTTCTCTCTAATCTCTGGTCTAAACAGAATTTCTTTCCTTGTCAGGAATATACTTGACGATCAAACATAAACAATTACAAGCACATACTAATTTTTTTCCTTTTTTGATGAGAATTGTGTGGAATCAACTTATCAGAACTCCTGGGTTTGTATGGCACAAATATATGGTAGTTCTACAACTACTAGTTCTGGTATATGTGTGTGTCAAGTAATATACCTTAAGTACCCATACTACCCAATAATAAAAAATTTCAATCATATGTTACAGAAAAAAATGAATTATCTTTTCATTCCCTCTAAAGATGAGAGTAAAAATTATCACATGATCAAAGAGAATGCACCAAAGAATGTAGAAAAGTTACTGTAGAGGTTTATTAGGTAATTAATTAAAAAATAGTGTTCATTTTTTTCTGGAATGTATGGCATTTTGCCAACTTTTAATAATGTGTCATTTCTTGAGATTTCTGTTCTGAAGATGTATTCATCTCCTACCTAATTTTATATTTAAAATTTTTGTATTTCTTCCCTTAAATAGAGAGCCAACGTTTTGTAAGCCTCAGGTTCCCAAAATTCAGATGTTCCCACACACAGAAATTATGTGAACCACACAAGAAAGTGCTCTGCTGACACCCAGTTTAAAGCTTATGAGAGGGGAATGGCCATAGGGTGGGTAAGTGTTAGGTGTTAGTACTGTGGGAGGCAGCAGGTGCCCTGGCTGGCTCCAGGGTTGATAGTTAGGGAAGGAAGAGGATACCCAAGCAGAAAAGGGGAGGGTGAAGATTTCTTAGGTAGAAAGACTACCCTGAGCCTCACAAAGACATAGCATTAATCTTCACTGATTGATCTAAGTTTCAGGAATTGTTTCTAATGCAAAGCTTTGATGACTTCTGTGTGGGAGCTCTTCTAACATTGCTGCTCCCCTGGATTTCCTTGCCTCTTGCCTCGCTTCCCCCAAGGGAGTCTGCTGCCCCTACCGGTGGTCTCTCTCAGCACACTGTTGACATAGCGGTTTTGCATCCAGAATTGCCTTTTTGCTGCCCTCTTGCAAAAATGAAATATTAAGTAAAGTCCCTGAAAACAGGCACTATGTCTCTTTTCTCAATATTTGCATCCTGGAACCTACCGCATGCTTTGTATATAGGAGGTATCCAATAAATGTTTATGCAGTAGTATTTATTGAGCTCCTATCATGTGGCAAGCCCAGTATGGACACTGCAGACCACTGGTAAATGAAGCAGACACAGTCCCTGCCCTCCCAGGGCTTACGTTCTAGTATCTGTGGAAAGAATAAATGGTGGCACACATGCTGAATCATCTCAGGAAAACGTGATGTTTGGAAAAGGGTTTGAGGTAGTCAGAGTCTGTCCCCTCCAATCCCTCTTCCATAGCTCCAGACTTATCTTCCATGAATATAATGGTGTTATCTCTCTGTTTAAAAATCTCTCAGGCCATCATACCTGAACCATTTTTCTGTCATTCAAGGCTTCCCATAGCCCAGACCACCCTACCCAACCAACCCAGTTCCTTAGCACTCACCAACACAGGACCCTTGCTCCCCTCACTGTGCCCCTTCTCACACATTTGTGGAAATACTCATGCCTCTGATTGTGAGCATTTATGAAGTGCCTGCCATGCACCAAGCTCCTAGTACTCCTTGGAGAGAAAACCCAGTTGTTTGAGACGAGGAAGATATTCACATGAAAAGATCACTGGTGATCCCAGGGAGCCCGTGCCAGGTGGCAAATGAGGCCTCAGACCTGCAAAGAAGGGATTTTTTTTTCTGAGTCCATTAAATTAATTAAAAGTGTTTTGCACGCCACTTTCTGTATCACAGATACATACACCTTACACCCTCTAAACAACTTTGGCCCCCAAAGTCCATATATTCATTCAACAAGTGTTTACTGAGCACCTGCCTTAGTCTGGACACCACGCTGAGGGCTGGGCCTGCAAAACGGGTGAAGCAGAATTCCCACTCTTAGGGAGCTTCAAGGGCAGCCGGCTCTCATCCAGAGAACATGGGAGGCTATCGAATGGTTTTGAGCAGAAGAGCAGTGGGGTATGTTATGCTTTGAAAAGAGCACTTCGTCTTGGATGTGATATAAAGTACCACTTCTTTACGCTTTCATGCATTTCATATGTGTGACTATGTCATTTAGTTAGATTATTGTTGTGGCAGTGAGGAGAAGGTATTTGAGGGAGATGAAACTGGACATGGGATGGCCGGAGCTGGGAGAATATTGCAATAAGACAATGGTGTCCGTGATAGAGAGGAGGGAAATGCTTTAAATACATAACTGTGCATTTTATGTGTATATATCATTACATGTGTACACATACCGTGTCTATGTGTATATTATAATTTACATTATATACATTCGTCCTTCCTTTATATTATAATTTACATTATATACAGTATCTGTCTATCTATATAAAGTTGTTAAGACGTGGAGATTGGGGCGTGAGCGTGTGAGCTAGGTTATGGAGGCAGAGTGTAGGATGACCCCCTGCATATTTATAGGACTATCTTAACTTCTTTAACAGAAGAGATTAGTTATTCACGCGTCCGCGTAATGGAAACTGTGTCTTAGCACCTCGAATGCCTCTAGGAAAATAGTACCCCATCTTCAGTGTCCTAAAGGACTCCCACGTAGCTTGTGGAAGAGCCGATTGGCCAGATTCTGATTTGGTGGGTCTCGGATGAAGCTTCAGAATCTTAATATTAACAGATATCTCAGTTATCTCAAATTTGTGAATCGTGGGGAAGAGCAATACAGACAGCTCAGTGCTCTGTGGTTGAACTGTATGGAGAAGAATTAATAGAATCGAATTGAGTGGTACTGAATGAATCCAATTGCAGAATTTTCACAGTCTCCGCTGCAGTTTGGGAAATTACCAGCAGGTGGCGAGCGACCCACACAACTCGGAAATGGGGCTCGACCGCTTCTGGGCACCCAAATCCCAGACCAAGAACTGTCCAGGCTGTAGAGGGGAATCCTACTTCCATGCAAAGCTGTTGGCGACAGAGGTGAGTGTCATCCCTTTGCACGTGCATCCCGATGCGTCCAATGGCGCACCTCTTGCTCTGGTCCCCAGGACTAACGGCATACCGACCGCATGGTGCCGCCTTCTTACTCCCAGGAGCCATAATCTTGGCACCAGCAAGGACTGACCTCACATCTGGAAGGCTGAGGATGACGTCAGCTGCCCCCTGAAGGCTCATGGCAGAAAAGGACAGCAAAAACGTTTGTTCACAGAGAGGAGTGGTTGCCACTAGAGGGTCATGTGGCCATGCCTGTATTGCCTGTATAGTCAGAATTGGAGGTGAGGCATCTTAACCCTCTCATTTTGTAAAGCCTGAGAGAGGATGAGCAGCTTGCCACGGTTCACAGAGCTAGAAAGTTCCAGAACTTCCTGGAGTCTGTGTCTTTAAGTGACTTCTGTGTGTGTGTGTGTGTGTGTGTGTGTGTGTGTGTGTGTGTTCAGTTCATCAGTGTCTGTTCATGAATTGTCATATAGAAGAAGCTTAGGGGCCACCATCTGGTTGGAGAAGAGGTGACTTTAGGATGTGTTTGTATAACAAATCCATTGCTTTTACCTAGATTGTGTATTTATTTGGGGGGTAGCCTGGCAGATGGGGGAAGGTGGGAACACAAAGAGAATGGTGCCTGGGGACTGAAGGTTCTCCGTTGCTACCCCCACTTCGTGTTTTAATGGACTTTCTTTTCTTATACACCTTCTTTTCTTTTCTTTCTTTTTTTACTTTTTTGGTGCATCATTCCTGGAAGTACTGCAATACCAGGTCGATGCGTGGAGTGGACGGAGCAAGCTCCTATTCCATTTCCCTGCTCCAAAAATTCATTTAATATATTGTCCTTGGATAGAGGATGTATCAGATATTAAACTGATAAGAACAGATACTACACTTGATCTTAGCCAAAAGGCCGAGAAGCGACATATACACCTTCTTTTCTGTCTACTAAAGTTTATTGAAAGCTAAGATTGTGTCTTATTTCTCTCTGATTATGCTCCATAGTTATTTGATGAATCAATAAGTATATCAACCTTGATCATTTTTAGATCTCAATGGTATTTTCTAACATCGTAAATGAATAGCATATACCTCTTGTTATAACCTCGTGTTATATATATCAGTATGCTTGTACTTATTTAACACATATCCAGTGTCTACTATGTGTCAGGCACTGTTGTCGGTATTTCACAAAAAGTAACTCATTTAATCTTGTCTTTGTTGCTGTTTCTTTAAGATTCCATGTCAGTGAATATCCACCTATTAGAAATTACTCTTTTTCTCTGTGACCCCTACCCCACCGCCATCATTCCTCCTTTCTCCTCCCCAAAGGGCTGAAAATCAGTTACCAGCCCCTGCCGATGCTGCAAATACTAGGCCCAGGGAAGAATTGTAAGGAGGGAAGAAAGTCAACTGGCCAACCTTTTTGGGGGCACATTTTCCGTGGCAGACACCGCCCAGGCTGCGGCTGCATCCTCCTTCCACTGTTAGGAGAAACTTTTCCCTTGGCCGGCAGGGCCAGCGTCCAGGTTTGCCTCAGGGGAGCCGGCTCCAGCCACCGGGCTGATTTATAGGCCAGAGCACTCCCGGGCCGCACCGCAAGGAGTCGGGCTGAGCTTGGACTTTGGGGAGGTGGTGATGGACACAGGACACGTGGCCACACAATGGGGACACACGACTGACCTCAGTCACTTCGGTAAACTGCCCCTGCTTTCCTGCTGCTGCGGCAGGAGCGTTGCAGGAGCTCCCGGGCTCCCGCCGCCAGCGCTCCTCGCCCCAGCCCGGAGCTCCCCTCGCCCTGCTGACCGCAGAGAGCACCCAAGGGCGCGTTAGCCCCCACGGGCTCTCGGAAACCCCTGACCCTGAGCCTTAAAGTCCTTCCTTGTGGATGGGAGCCTCGGCGCGTTTCACAGTGTGTAAGGAGAGGCACAAAGGCCGTCTCCGCCTGGGGGCCGAGACTGGCTGGAGCGCGCCCAGAGTGAACTTTCCGCGCAGGTCAGATGTAGGCACCGGGGTCTTGTGACGTCACAATGCGGTCTCGCAGGGTGAAAGGCTGAGAAAGGGTCAAAACGAGGCAGTGTGTGTTGTGTGGCTGAAGGTGGGGGCTTGCGAAGAGAGGGAGATCAGGGGAATGGGGGAAGGGATTTGGGGACGTATAAATTTGAGAAGGAGCAATCAAGTTGGGGGAAAAATAGCAGGGCTTTTTTTTTTCTTCCCTCCTATATGCAAACTGTCACTTCGGGTTAGCAGGAGCCCTTATCTGGCTCATTAGCATGAGCTGTGGCTAACACGCTTAAACCCTCTAATTATTTATTATGCCGTCACGGAGCGGGTTGCAACCCCACCCCGGGGCGCGCTAGCGGGGCGGCAGAGCTGGGCAGGGCGCGGGGGCCGGGGCGCAGGGTCCTGCCTTGCTGCGCGCGACCGGGGAGACCCCTCGCGGGCCCAGAGAGACGCCGCGCCGCCAGTCAGCGTGGCCGAGTTGTTGGGGGTCTATCTGGAATGCCCTTTCACCAAATTCATCCCCAGGATAACAGTGCAGCACTCATCCGACTCGTCTACACTTGCTCCCGAGCTTCTCCACTGCCAACTCCTAAGACCGAAGTTGGAGCGAAGGGGTGCAGAATTCTTGGGGAGGGGGGAAGAAGAAGAAGAAGTCAAACACGACACGGAGCAAGGGGCTGGGGACTTGGGCTGGGTAGCACGTTGTGTGCACCTTCCAAGAGAACTGACAAGTTGTGCCTCTCCCCCAGCCTCGCGTTCCAGGCGGGTTCACAAACTTGGGGGGGAAATATGATGGGCTGAAATCCGGCCGCTCACATCCACGGTTCTATTCAGAAAACAGTTTCAAAATAAGTTAACCTCTGTAGGGTGGTTTTCTTCCCCCTCCCCTTCTAATTGTCCCCCTTCCCCCTCCCTCTCCCCATTCGAGTCTGTTTTATGTTCCCCTGCGTTGTGCCAACTATTTTATCTTTATTCCTTCTCTTTCTGTCTCGCCATTCATTCCCTTTTTTGTGTGTGTGGCTTCTCGGGCTGATGTGCGGCTCGTTACCACCCACTGCACGCTCGCTCCTGTGGCTGAGGTGTTTCTATACAAACTCGAGCGTCCAGTTGTCATATTAATTATTACACTGAGTAATGACTGAAATGGTCAAAATAAGGGGAGACTCAAGAGAGCTTTTTTTTTTTTCTGCTCAAAGATTCAGCAAAGAAGCCGTGCAACAAAGCACTAATTGGTCCCCAGAAACACTCTGACAAGGCATGGAAGATAGGTTTCATAGAGCCCTTCGATTGTGAAGGGGGGAGAGCTCTGAATGGACTCCACGCTTCTTTTCTAAACTCTCTTGCTGAGCAAAAAATGGACCTCTGTTTGAATACTGCCCTGATCCTTGAATACTATACCCAGCAGAGAAAAAAATGCACCATTTATTGTAAGTTTTTTTTTTTTCTTTTTCAGCTATTCAGGGGTTCTCTGTGAAGAATCAGCTGGTTTTGTTTACCATGAAAGACCTTTACTTTATTTTCATTCTTGGAGGAGGTGGGGAGGGGAGGGAAGGAGAGCCATGTGCCTAGACAGAGAGGAGCTGGCCTACTGTAACAAAATAGAGTGTAACAAATCCTACAAAAGTTTTGAATGTATTGATTCTTTGGAGAGCTATATAGATTAACGACTTTCTTTATGCTTATCCAAGGAAGGTATTTAATCATAATGTAAATGGGGCTTTAGAAAAAAATAAAGACTTAGCGTTACTTCTCCTTATTTGGAGAACTTCAAAAGGACTTGTGAGGGTGGCTGCAAATTACCTCCTCCTCCTCCACCTTCCCTCCCTAACCAAAAAAGGCACAATAAAATATAGTTTGTGCTTTTTTGTTTTGTTTTGTTTTTCCAACTTTCCTTTTTCTTTTTAAGGCATACTGAAAAAGCGAATAGATTTGTTAGAAGCCTGGATTCCTTAATGCAGGTGCAGGCCTGGCTGCTGTGACCAGGAAGCTGGGCCAAGCCAAATACGTGGTTTGTGCTGTTCTGCCCCCTGAACAGGCCCTCCTCCGAGGCTTCTGCAGACTAAACTCAGGCTGGCTAGCAGCTTTTTCTGAAGTTACCTTGGGAATACTGTTCTGGGAGACACTAGATTGTACAGTCATGTCCTTTTCATTTTCCCTGGGTGCATGATCTAGCACAGGCTTAGAGTTGCACACAGCCAAGGACAGAGGCCCTAACTTAATTATAACTATTGGAATATATATAGGAATAGATATAGGAATACACACACACACACTAGGACTGCCATGCACACTCACTTTTCTCCAAGCATCCGTGGCCTCTGAGACTCAGGTTGCCCACCAAACTGAAGATTTCGTGAACAATTTTGTGACCAAATCTAGAATACAAAGGCTCATGTTTGTCCACTCTTTGACCCTTATTCAGGATCCACTATAAATATAACTTTATTAAATTATCTGACCCATGGAAATTCTAGTTTCATTTTTAATATTAACCTCTCTCTCCAAAGAAAAGGCATAGATGGGGCATTTTTCAAAGAGATGAGACATATTTCCTTTTCACAGAGAGAAGGTGCATAATCCTGGAGCTTGGACATAGCACGTGAGCAAAGGTAGCACTGGCGTGGTCTTCAGTCGTGAGTGGAAATGAAGGTGGCAGGAGACTGGAGCACAGTGTCTCCAATATGAGGGCAGCAGACGAGATCACAAGAAAAGCCATCTCCCTCTATAAACGTTGGTGCTGAATGAAGATAAGGTCTTATCTAAAGTATAATTCAGCTCCAGGGTGTCCTGACATAGGAAAGAGGCCTGAAAGTGCTGAAATTAAGTCTCTTATTGCATTGAAGGAGAAAGAAAACCTTTTCTATTTTCTGGAATGTATATGTTCTGGGTGATACTCCCCAAAGGGGTTCAATGTCTTGCCTTCCCCCTTTACAAAACAGAACACTGTTTGAATGCTGCTATTTGGAGGAATGAAAAGGCAATCCCTGATATATGTGGAGAGATTTGCAAAGCAAATTAACCAACAACATCTGATTTAATTCTCATAACAGCCTTGACACATAGGCAAGGGGAGTGCCACTGCTCCATTTATGGATGAAGGTATCAAACCCTCCTTTTGTGAATTGTTTTCTTCTCCCTCCATGCCCAGATAAATGGGACATTGTTCAAGTGTCTTAGCCAAGTAAAACTCTGGGGACTTGTAGGGATTCAGGCCCACTGCGTGGCAAGGGAGCCACAGAAAGCTGATGTGGAAGTCAGGACCAGGGGCTCTGCTGAAGCTCCCTGCATGTAAAGGCCACAGAGCATCTCCATATTTTATCCCACTTACTACTGTTCATGTTAAAAAATGTGGTTCCTGTCTTTATCACCTTGATTTGTGATCCATCACCACCATTCCTCAAAAGTGACAGGAATTACTCCCCTCGAGGTGCTGGGACAGTGAGAGAGGACCCTTTCCTGGGTGGGCTGTGTGAGCCTGACTTTCTGATTAATCCCATCCTGTTTAAACCTGCTCTGGAGTGCTCCACTCACATCTTACTGAAGTCTCACAACCCTTGGAGGTAGGTATTATAACTCTTGGCTGGTGCAGATGAGGAAACCAGAGACTCTTGTGTGTCTCAAGGTCACACGGCTGTTGAGTAACAGAACTCGGACACCCAGTCAGGTCAATCTGCTTTCTGGAAGTCTCCCTAGTAGAGCATGTAGCCAGTTCTTTCTGGTGGGGAGCAGGGAGGGGAAGGGGGATGGATAATCTAGGTCACAGGGTCAGAAGCAGGATTCTAATTTTGGCTTTTGAGTCTCAGTCCTTTGCTCCACATTGGTGAAAACAAGTAGAAAACCAGTATCAGTGGAAAACTCTCCTAGGTAGTGCACAATCCCCCAATGGCAGAGATGTAAACCCCTAAAGAAAAATTCCAGACTGCTCCACCTTAGGATTGGAAGAGAAGGTGGTGATGACAGTGTTGAAGAGCATTCTCTGGGTTCTTAGAAGGCTTTGCAAAGCATGTGAAAAAGAAGGCTTAGTACACAAGGGAGGAGACAGTGAGGACAGCATTTTGGTTAGGGCTGGAGTTGGGAAAATGGGAACAAATGTTTCAGTAGCTTTGGCAGGAAGGTTGCTATCTTTTTTCCTGGGCTGATGCCATAGGCAGGATCACTAGAAGGCTTCCCTACTATATGCTTCCATTCAGGTGCCCATATCATGGTATACATGTGTGCTTGGGGTGGGGATGGGGGATTCTGGCCTTAAGTCCCTGGTAATTGCATGCGATCTTTGTGTATAGGTGGAGCTCAAGTCCCCTAGAGGGAAACTGTGAACACATGTTGGCTACCAGCAAATTTTCCCCTCTCTTAGATACGAGTTTTTAACTAGCTAGTGTACACCCCTCTTGTGCAGATCAGGAAACTGAGGCCAGTAGAAGAGGGACTTGTTCAAGATTACAATGCACAAGAGTGGTAGAGCTGGGAGTCTGGACCTTTTTCAAGTGTGGAATGACAGAGTCTGACTTAGAATGGAGCTCATGATTCGGCTTAATGTGAAAGGAAGCACATTTAGATGGATCCCTGTTAGGGACAAGCCCTCCCACCCCCAGCCCTGACTATTTTGGTGAAGAGGAGGGGAACAGGCATGTGGCCTCCTGGCACATGCTCTAAGAGCTCACAGTTGAGGCACGTGGGGGTGGGGAATGCCTGAATTATCCCTATTTCTCCAGGTGGTCTGGGGCTCACTTGGGTTGGAAAGGGCAAGATGCCCAAGCTGAGTGGTGTGGCTCTACTTTAGGTGTAATTACCTCCTACACTTCTGGGAAGAGAAGACAAATATGACCTTGGAGACCTCTCAGCTCCTTTCCTGGGAGTCTAAGGGGGAGGCCTGAGCTGTAAATTCAAGGGGCTTTAGCAAAGTCCTGTGAGACAAGCAAGCCACAGGTTACTCTGGGGTGGAAGGGGGCCATGAGGGTGGGGAGGGTTGCAGAACTGATCTCTGTTGGCACCATTCCATCCTATACTTCTCGAAGTTACCCATTCGAACAGGCAGTGAAAACAGGCAGCGAAGAGAGATGATTCACTTCGGGAGCCACTGGTCCTTACTGCCCACCACCAACCCTATCATTCCAAAAACACTCATAGCCAGCCACACACACCAAGGGCGGCCCCCTGGTCACGCCCACTAGCCCTGTAGAAAAACCCATCTCCACAAAGCGAAGATCGATGAGAAGCAATGATCCTGATAATTCACCTGATCAAACAGACTATTTCTGCTGGACAAATCAAATGCACGATGGACCTCCGCTCAATTCTGCCTGTGTAGACGCGCCTGGAGGCTCGCCCCAGCCTCTCTACCCAGCAGGGCATTAAAGGGATGGGGTCCATTGCTCCGTCTGCTTTCCCAAGAGCAGCGCCGTGTCCCCAGACGTCCCGAAGCTAGACAGGGTTCCGGCCAGAGCCAGCCAGGGCCGAGGGCCCAGGAAGGGCGGCTGGGCAGGCGCTGTCCAAGCGGCCGAGCAACTGCTGCAAGCGCCTCCCCCTCCCTCGCGGCGCCAGCACGCGGCCCCGCCGGGCTCTGCTCCCAGTCGCCTGCCACCGGCCCGCCGGGCACACGCCTGGGGCGGGATGGAGGCTGAGCCAAGGCCGCCGAGGTGCCTGCGGCAGAACAACTGGGGAAGCTCGTCCAGTTCCCCAAGCTCCAGCACCTGCCCCGTGCTCCCCATGTTTCTTCTCAGAGGATCCGGGAATATCCTAGAGGTCTCCCCTCTTTATAACCGCCCCCCCAGCTGGTCAGGAAATAATCCTTTTGGGGGGGGCGATGATACAGGGGCCGGGAGGTCACCCTAGGGGGGCGTCCTGTCACATACACCTACCTACAGCACTGATCATAACCGCCCCTCGGTGTCCCTTCTCCTCGGGTCCCCTCTATATTTGCTCGGTGGTGGGGACCACATCCTAATTTTTAGAGCTGGATGGGGCATTTGAGACCATGCAAACTTCTGTGGCCAAAGACGAGGAAACGGAGGCTCAGAGAGGATGCCACTCACCAAAAGCCACAGAGCTAGTGAGAGGACGCCTCAGGACTAGAACCCAAGTCTTCACATACTCCAGCACTTTTCTCACTGTCTTGGACGTAGATTCCTCCTCCCATCTTTCAACCTTAACTTGCTTGAACTTCTAAGGTCAGCGAAAAACCTCAAGAGTAAAACAGTGGGGAGGAGAAGAAAACAGGAAACATGGAGCTCCACTACCTCCTAATCTTCCTCATCGCCCCGTGCCACTTTTCTGCCCAAACTCTTCCCTGCGCTTTGCTGCACGTTCTCAGGAGACCCCAAGGGCATTTCACCCCAAATCTTTCCACCCATGCACCCCAATTTCCAGGGCTATTTGTCCCTTCTGCGAAGCCGGCCCCCCCCTTTCCAAAGCCACCCCCCGCTGCAGCCCGCCCCGAGCGCGCCGCCTGTTTATTCAGCCGGGAGTCCGGCACGCGCCAGGCGCACGCACTGCAACAACAAACCCGGCTGAATGGAGAGTTTGCAAGGAGCGGGCGAAGGGAACCGGAGGGGGGAGAGGAGAGGAGGAGGGGGAGTTTAGGGAGTGGGTGGGAGGAGGAGGTAAGAGGAGGGGGGAATGGGGGCTGCAGCCGCTCGCTGCAGCAGCGGGGAGTGGGGGGCGAGGCGGGGCCAGGGCTGCGCGTGGGGCTGGGTGTCCCATTGAAAAGGCGGCCGCACTCCGGCCGCCCAGCACTCTCTCACTTCTGGCCAGGGAACGTGGAAGGCGCACGGACAGGGAGCCGGCCAGGGAGGGCGAGTGAAAGAAGGAAATAAGAAAGAAAGGGGGTTAACAAAATAAAAACAGCCTGAGCCACGGCTGGAGAGACCGAGACCCGGCGCAAGAGAGCGCAGCCTTAGTGGGAGAGGAACGGGAGACTCAGCAGAGCGCGCTCAGTACTGACTTTTGCTGCTTCTTCTGCTTTTTTTTTTTCTTAGAAACCAGAAGGCGCTAGCGACAGCCTCACACGCGAGCGCCACGCGAGGCTCCTGAAGCCAACCCGCGAAGGGAGGAGGGGAGGGAGGAGGAGGAGGCGTAGACAGAGGAGAAAAAGCGTTTGCACCTTCTTTGCTCCCTCTCTAGGAAGTCTCCTGGGGATTTTGTATTTTTTTTAACTTCCTCGGGGCTCCCTCTTCATCTTTCCCCTTCTTTCTGTCTCTGTTCGTGCACCCAAGTCCTGTCTGTGTCCCCCGCGCGCGCCCGCACCTCGCGTCCCAGCTCGCTCAGATCCCGCGCCCCCTTGGCCGCCGCTGCGCATGGAAAGCTCTGCCAAGATGGAGAGCGGCGGCGCGGGCCAGCAGCCGCAGCCGCAGCCCCAGCCGCCCTTCCTGCCGCCCGCAGCCTGCTTCTTTGCTACGGCGGCGGCGGCGGCGGCGGCGGCGGCAGCGGCGGCGCAGGGCGCGCAGCAGCAGCAGCAGCAGCAGCAGCAGCAGGCGCGGCAGCTGAGCCCCACGGCCGACAGCCAGCCCTCAGGGGGCGGTCACAAGTCAGCGCCCAAGCAAGTCAAACGACAGCGCTCGTCCTCGCCCGAACTGATGCGCTGCAAACGCCGGCTCAACTTCAGCGGCTTCGGCTACAGCCTGCCGCAGCAGCAGCCGGCCGCCGTGGCGCGTCGCAACGAGCGCGAGCGCAACCGCGTCAAGTTGGTCAACCTGGGCTTTGCCACCCTCCGGGAGCACGTCCCCAACGGTGCGGCCAACAAGAAGATGAGCAAGGTGGAGACGCTGCGCTCGGCCGTCGAGTACATCCGTGCGCTGCAGCAGCTGCTCGACGAGCACGACGCGGTGAGCGCCGCCTTCCAGGCTGGGGTCCTGTCGCCCACCATCTCCCCCAACTACTCCAACGATTTGAACTCCATGGCCGGCTCGCCGGTGTCGTCCTACTCGTCCGACGAGGGCTCTTACGACCCGCTCAGCCCCGAGGAGCAGGAGCTGCTCGACTTCACCAACTGGTTCTGAGGGGCTCGGCCTGGTCAGGCCCTGGTGCGAATGGACTTCGGAAGCAGGTAGGTTGCATTTGGGGATGCACGGGGGGGGGGGGGGGGTATTCTTGTCTTCATCCTCCCTCTGAGTGTCTGTGGAAGGGGGGCTGTCTCCATGGAGATGGGGGGAGTTACAGTGAAAGCGTTTGTTAAAGTTTGTCAATTTCAAATCCTAGCTTGTTAGTTTTAGCACTGGCCTCTGAACGTGGCTTTGCCCACTTCTCCAAGCAATGGAGGGTAGTAGGGGTGAGGTGCGGTGATGCTCGCTGGCAAACCGAGAACTGGGATGTGTCAAAAGAGGGGTTCTACCAGGCAGACTCTTCCCCCAAACCTCCATCTCCCCCGCCACTAGCCTTCAAGTGTAAACTAACCTCTCCCGTTACTCTCCTTGCTGCAGGGTGACCGCACAGCCTGCTGTCTTTAGTGCTTTCCCGTCAGCGTCAGCGACGTTGGGAGGGAGCAAAAAGGAAAAGAAAAAAAAAATGAAGAAGAAGAAGAGAAGAGAAGAAGAAGGAAAAAAAAAAAACTCCGCAAAAAAACAAAAACAGCTAACCAACCCAACCCCAACAGCAACTAAGCACGCATGCCTAAGAGGCAAGGCCCTCAGAAGACAGGGTTGCGCTCAGAACACTATCTTTGCACTCCAATCATTCAAGGAGATATGAAGAGCGACTAGGACTTGAGTCGACGCGCAAAATGCAGCTCGTGTGCAAAAGCAGTGGGCTCCTGGCAGACAGGAGCAGCAGACGCACTATAGTAACTCCCACCCACCACTAACACGCACAGCTGAAAGCGCTGGCTCGGGCGCCTTCACCTCCCCGCCCTCTCTCAAAGCGCAGTTCGTAGCCCTCTAGAAATGAGTTGGTGTCTTTCGTCTCAGTAACCCCCACCCCAATAAGCTGAAGACATCAGTCTACAGTGAAACTATGTTCTACTCAGTCCTTTGAAACCCTGCTCCGTCTGGGGGGGGGCATCCCCAAACTCCTACCATCTCCCTCACAATGTCTTTTCTACTGTTTTCATCATAGAATGCTTCCAATCTTTTGTGAATTTTTTTATTATAAGAAAAATCTATTTGTATCTATCCTAACCAGTTTGGGGATATATTAAGATATTTTTGTACATAAGAGAGAAAGAGAGAGAAAAAAAATTTATAGAAGTTTTTGTACAAATGGTTTAAAATGTGTATATCTTGATACTTTAACATGTAATGCTATTACCTCTGCATATTTTAGATGTGTAGTCCACCTTACAACTGCCATTTCCCCTATGTGGTTTTGTAAAGAACTCTCCTCATAGGTGAGATCAAAAGGCCACCAGTTGTACTTCAGCACCAATGTGTCTTACTTTATAGAAACGTTGTTAATGTATTAATGATGTTATTAAATACTGTTCAAGAAGAACAAAGTTTATGCAGCTACTGTCCAAACACAAAGTGGCAGCCAGTTGGTTTTGATGGGTTGCCTTTTGGAAATTTCTATCACTGCCTTTTTTTTCTTACTGTTTTATTACAAACTTACAAAAATATGTATAACCCTGTTTTATACAAGCTAGTTTCGTAATAAAACTTTTTTTTCCTTTTTTCAAAATGAAAATAATCAGCTGCCTCTAAGCTTTCTTTGACTCTGATGCCCCTGGACAAGTTATTGAAATGCCAAAGCAAAGGGGTGGGTGGGGGGCGAAGAGGGTGGTGCAAAACACGCTAAGTGGCAGGAATGACAAAGATAAGCGCTGTAGCCAGTCCTACCCAAGTAGTGACTTAGTGATGAATGTAGAAAATGTACTGCTTTCTTCCCGTTCTATCTTGCAAATATACATATGCATGAGAGAATAGGTGGTGGTTAATAGCTGTATCATACTTTGATAAAAGAACTGAACATTTAAAAATCCCCCAAAAAGTGAACTGGAAAGAGAGGGTCTTCCACCCCACTTTCCAACCCACACCCCTATTCTGAGTGTCTCCTCGTGAAACTAAGGGAGGGCTGGGTGAAATCATGGGTGGAAATTTGGGGGCTGGGGAGGCAGCCCTCTGCACATAGCAGCTCTCCCTGGAGAATATGTTCCTCTTCCTTCGCTTCCAGGCACACAGTTTCTCCTCCTTTCCCCCAATACACACACTTTCCATGTTGATTTTTAAGTAAAAGGTATGTATGATATAAATTCCTTCCAGAAGGAGCTAGATTTTAACAAATAAACGCATTAGAAATGTGTGGTCGCTTTGAGACACTGGCCTATCTAAGCTTGTGACTCTATCCGAATAGCGTGAGCTGCGTGTAAAAGTACCCAATTACCAAGATTCAAAAAGAAATTGGTGGGTTTTTGGCTGGCTTGCTTCTTGTCAGTTAGCAAAGACGTGATTAGAATCCTACTCGGCCTCTCGCCGGCTCCTCGCTCGCCGCCTGCATTACTTGCAGATTCAGTTTGCGTGTCTCCAGCCAAGCGGAAAGCCGAGCGCAAAATGCATCTTACAAAACCCAACAAAGAACGGGTAGCCAGCACGTCTTCCAGAGTTAAAAATCTAGTCTGTGTTGGTACATCTATACCATTTAGTGGCACAGAATAATCATTTTTTAAAGCCGCGATGCGCGGAGCACGCCACAGCGTCTGATGTCATTTTGTTAAATGACCCTCTATAGAATGCACATTGAGGCTTCAGTCCCTTTCAAAGAGATGAACGTAATTAAGGGAAAAAAATCAGTAAATTCCTCATCGCCATAAATAATCGGACTTTCTGCCAGCAGTGGGCCAATTTAGAGCTTACTTGAGAGGAGTAATGCTTTTGTGATGCCTGCTTTTATTTTTATCTTCTCATTTGGAGGACCGGGGCTAGGCGTCCCCCCCACCCCACCCCGCCCCCATCTCTCTTTGGTTTAATTTAGCTCCTTTGCAACTTTCCAGATAAGGTATGCAAAGAAAGTGTAGCAAGTCATTTATGGCTATGAATATAACATTAGGATAATGTTTCGGCCCCCACAAAGGGGATTTTTTTTTTCCTTCTCCTGTGGGGACAGGTGTTCTTTCACTCCCTTCTGAATGGGAAATAGCCAGTCTTGTTAAAGTCGAGGCAAAGTTAGCTGTTGTTTGCCACAACGCGAAGGCAAACTGGAAAAATTCACAAAAACACACACAATTTTGCAGAAGCTAGGAAAGGGCAAAGCGAGGATTGGGCAAAATCTCATTACATCTGCTCTAATCGCTTAGCAACACAAAGCCGGGGCTTGTGCGGGGAAGGGAGCCTTTCACGGCGCCCTGACAGGCCGCATTCAGCCGGCGTTAGTCAGCTCCATAAATCACCGCTGCCCATTGGCTGCGCGGCGGGCTTTGCAGCGGCCCTGGGCTGTCAGCGAAATACAAAATGTAGACCCCAGAGGCTGGCAATCGCAGCCTCCCCCGTCTTGGTCCCCACCTCACTTTTTTTTTTTTTTTCTTTTTTGATGGAGGAGGATGCTGGGAAAGAAAACTGGCATTGACTTTATTGACTGAGAAATCTTACCTATTCAAAAAAGTGGCCTGGAGACCACCGAGTTAAGACTGGAGACATGCCTGCTATCGACCTGGAGGAGCATTGAGTGCGGGAGAGAAAGAAAATACGGGCCCGCCGTTGGCTGCAGAGTTGTTGTATGCACGTATTATCAGAGGCTGAGAGAGGGCTACTTGGGGCACGCGTTTCACCTCCCTGACACGGACGTTTTAAATTTTTCAATTGAAAGTAGGAGGGTACGTATGAAGAAGAATCTATCTCAAGTTCATATGAGGCAGATCCACCAAGGAAGAAAGAAGAAACCGTTCTGCAGCTGCATAGACCTTCAAAGGAGTAGGGCTGAGATGCCCCAAGAGAGAGGGCTAGAATGTGCATTTCCACGTTGCTGTTCTTGCAGGCTGGGGATGACCCAATGCAGAGCTAACAGCTCAGTTCCTTGGTACCCACAACAGCTAGCTAAAAAAAAAATGTAATGAAGTTAGCAAAAGACCTATGTCAGAGATTACAAGCTGTATGCAAATGTTAGTGCCCACTGTTGTCGCTATTCTCATCTTCCAGTTCTGTCTCTCATTTTCCAGAGGACTAGTCAGATGCATTTAAATCATAGCCCAGACTTGATTCCTACCCACAAAGCACATAGAATCAAGTCTGGGAGTAGATGTGGAATCAAGGTAGACCTTCCTTGGGAGTCCAGGTTCCTTACCTCAAGGCACCCCAATGCCACCTCCTCTGAGAAGCTTTCCCCGACCACCCTATCCACAGCAGCTCTCCATCTGCCACAATCAGTCTCCACCTATTATCCTGTTTTTCCTTCCTGACATTCACCATTATCTCAAAACCGCATATCTTTGTTTGTTTATATGATTGTTATCAATTGCCCCCCACTAGATGGCAAACTCCCTGAAGACAGAGACCTTACCTGTCTTGTTCACTGTTATCTCCCCCACCCCTAGAAAGATAGGTATTTGCTGACCAAATGGACAAATTGTTAGTCTGCTCTGTTCCATCCATAGCTGTGTTACTTATTCTTCTTTTTCCCTCCAGATGCACTTGCCACCTTTCTCTGCTCTTTTCTGAATCTCAGGAGACTGATCTTTGTGGATTTCATGACTAGAGCTGCCATGATTTCTGGCTTTGTGTTGGGTTTGGCCAGTGGGTGGCACCAGCACAAGAGTACAAGGTGGGAGAAGAAATAGGTTGGGTGTTTATATCCCTGCTTTCTCCCTGCCTGGGCTCAGTTGCTTTGGCGGTGGCTCTGCTCCTTGGTCTAAGGCCACAGACTCTTGTCAGGAGTCTCCTTTCCCACAGCTACAACTCTTGTTGAGGTCCAGTAACAGCTTCCTCCTATTGACCCTTCAGGCTCAAAGGTGGTAATAGCTCTCCCTTGTTACTAGTCTCTGGGTGCTGCATCATTTTGGTTCCCATAAGCCCCACCCACATCTCTGTCTCTCTGTTAAACTTTGTTCATTTACCCTGGTGCCACTGGCTGTTGCCAACCCTGAGTGGTACATTGGCCATTTCCCACAGGATATACTAGTTTTATGTAAAATTTTCAGGGACTCCTAGGGGTATCAGTAAGAAACTTTGTAGCATAGAGGTGAACCTAACTCTATGCAACATCTAACTTTAGAAAATCACTGTCTTTTTGAGCCAAGAATGAATTACCTGAAAGTCCCCCCCCCAAAAAAAAAAAGTCAATTACAGTTTTCTCTTCTGGAAAATGCAGGTAACAACACCTCCCTTTGCATCACCAGATGAATAGAAAACGAAAGGGCTTTAGAGCTACCAATGATTATATCAGTGCAAGAGATATTTGCCTCTCATGATCTTTATGAACCAGGTAGAGGGATGGTGCTGAGGACTTGCCATTAAGATAAACAAAGGTGTTCTTGCTGTTGGGAAGCTAGTACACTTTCTTTCACAGGTTCATTCACTTGACCATTTATGCACTCATTTAAAAGAGGAGGGACAAATGATTAAATTTAATCAACATTTCTAGAACTTAATTGTCT